CGACAACGCGAGCATCGGGGTACCTTACACTCTCTTCTTACATGGCCGGTACCTTGGCAGCGCAGACATTGCATTGGCCGACCAGGTGCAACCACAAGTGCCAGTTCACCAGCCATCCTGATTTGATGCGGGAGATCTTCAACCTTCACGCCACTCTTGAGCTTAAGAAGCACAGTTCGTGTGGTTGACCCCTTGTCGCTGACTTCTTGAACACGCCAATTCTCCCTGGGGACTTGTAAGACCTTCCCATAAGTCACCAACGCCGTTTTCACGTCTTCATCGTTAACGCCATACAGCAGCCAATGAAGACGCCGCCGCACCTGCTGATCCTGGGGGTCTACGATGATGCAGCGTCGACCCTTGACTTTCAGCTCCTTCACGTCCAGCAAGCGTCTCGTAGCGTCCGCGTTGTTCATGGTGACTGCCCAGACATGATTTATCTGGTAGGCCCCCAGTGCCAACACCTCCGGCAATAGTCCTGTAGGTCCGAGCGCGTCTCGGAAATCTTCTACTCGATGCGGTTTGCCACGCACATCACCGTGTAAAAACACAGTGTTTTGCGCGACGCGTCCCTTGGGCAGTGGTGGCAAAATAATCTCGTATCCTGCGTCTTGGTCTTCGGTCATCCTGTTACCGCGGCTAGTTTGTGCCGCAAACGCCGCTCCAACGGAGCACATGATTCTTGCGTCCGACGCGCGTGAGTGCCGACGAAAGAATGCGCCGCTGACGTTCACCTTACAAAAGACCACGTACCTCTGAGTATATATAGGTATTGTATCTTGATCTCCCATGTAGCTCTGGTGGGACTATTGCTTTACTAGTAAATAACCAACAAATATTCATGGCAGATGTGTGAATTCACAGTGGCCTGACAGATACTATTGAACACATATATCCTTCTTTATAAACCCACCTAACAATAAATATTTTATAACTCGCGGAACTTCAATATTAGCTGTTGCTGTGGCATTTGACCTGAATTTGCATTAGCAGCACTCTGCGTGAGTTCGTAAAACACCTCAATGATCCTTTCCTGGAGGAACTGTGTAGTGTATGGCCAGACGATGGCAATGTACAGAGAAATTTTATTGGAAAATACTTTTAGGGGCAAAACTCCTTATAACGGCACCCGTTCATCCCTCGTAGTCGTTGTAGTATGTAACAGTTTGACCTCCAAGGTGGTGCCGGCGAGAGATTTCTTCTGTGCGTTGTTGAACAATCAAAAATAGTGCTCAATGTACATGCAAATGGCTGCTAATGGAAAATGAAGACAGGAGCATTCGGCTTTTAGTTAACGCGTACGCTGCGATCCTCATTAGAAGACATTGGCATGTACATTGAGCACTATCTGACAAGAAAGCATTGCTACGTTATGCTCGCTGGGTGTAACCTCCTTATTTTTAGAAAGGTTTAGCGAGCGTTTAGCCACAGTGCCATGGATACAATGAACTAGTATATACCATGAATGAACTCGAGGTGGGTAAAGGTGGGAAGTAGATACGAAGCGCAAGCCGTAAGAAAGTAAAATCAGAATTCTCCTGTCTCTCATTCCCCATTAGCAGCCATTGGCATATACATTATGCACTATCTGACAAGAAAAGGTTGCTACGTTATACTCGCTGGGCGTAACTTTATTGGTTTTAGAAAGGTTTAGCGAGCGTTGGGCCACCGTGCCATGAATACAGTGAACTAGTATATACCATGAACTCGAGGTGGTTAAAGGTGGGAAGTAGACCCGAAGCGCAAGCCGTAAGCAATCGTGCGTGTGCCACGTCTCGTGTAGTCCTTGGAATGTCCGCTGGATGGCGGTGCTTCTATATGGGGAATATATTATGAAAAGATGCGAGATGGTGGCACTTGGTGTGTTGAATAGATGGACAAACGGACACTCAGACAGATGCATGGATGGGCGCATGAACGGACGCAGGGACGGACGCAGGGACGGACGCACGAACAGACGAACGCACGAACGGGCGGATGGACGCATGGACGGTCACACAGACGGACGGAAGTAAAACCGAATAGATGAACAAATGCTTGACCCCACTCTCCATCATTCACCCCGTGGATACGCTGCCAATGTTTTTTTTCGTCATAGAGTGCTCTGAATTAACAAAGAGTAATCACGAAAAATCACAATACTCTAATGCTGTACTGTACATGAATGTTTAATTATTTATGATAATGTCATCAGTTGTACCCTCGTAGCTTTTATTTATTTATTTATTCAGAATACCCCTAAGGGCCCTCTCACAGGAGGGTATTACATAGGGGGGGGGGGGCTATAATACATACAGGTACATGAAATGATTAATAGAACCAGAAAACACGCAAACTAAACACCATACAGCTACTAAATACATTAGAATAAATATAAGGTCAATATTCTTACCGCATAATCTTAAGTAATCAGAAGAAATAATATGAGTCAAACGATAATAAAACTAAAGAAATTATTTTAAAATTGAACTACGCAGAGAAGGAAATAGAGTCACAAGAGTACAATAAAACGCAATCTAGCTTACTACAAACACACGCGCCATTAAGCATAAAGGAATGGCAACATCACCAAAACACGTGTGAATAACTGAATTAGGCAAACACAGCAATAAATAACACCAACCATGAACATACGCAGTTTCTACAAAAAACACGGTTTGCAGAAAAAAAAAAAGAGGGGGGAATACCGCGAAAGGTTCACACGCTTGCACTCATGTTTAGTAGGTTCTGAAATTCAGTGATATCGGTGACGGTTGCAATGTTTGAAGGTTAGTCATTCCACTCGGTTATGTGCGCGGTATGAAGGATGTGTACATTTCACCAACGAGGCGAAATTATGCCGCGATTGCATGCAGCCCCGGGACTCACAAGTAACGGGTTCGTATCAAGTGCTTCGTTGTTGTACTTATTCCTAAAGTTAAAAATAACTAAAAAAAACAGCAGCGTTCGGCGAAGCCTATGACAACATATGTAAGGAAATGTTATCTTGGACGTGTTTCGGGTACAGGCGCAATGCTGCCAGACAACAGAAGGCTGTTCTTTTACCCTCGTGCGTAGCCAGAACTGGCCATTCCTCTTGTGAACAACAAATATAGATGACGCCAATATTTCTCTCGCTGGACACATACCATGTGAAACAAGACTCACGGCACAAACGTGAACCACAAAACACGAGCCGAATGCTGAGGACACCGGATCTGTCTATTTAGCCACTAAAGACATCGCTTCGGGTGGGCGCCAACAAAGCACGCAAGCTCCTCGTTCACAGTGATGAGAAGCCCGACTCTGCGTCCACGATTGTATTTTCGGTTCAACCTTCTCGCGTCGCTATGGCCGCGCTCAATCATGCCTTGTTCAAGCCAATAAGAGAGTGACGGAAGCACTGGGCGTCATGACTCTCCGCATAAGGGTTGCACGCAAGGTAACCGCGAAAGCGATAACTGTTGCAACTTGCGACGTTACATGAACTTGTCATAAATGCGCAGCCACCTAGAACTGAAGTTTTATGTAGCTGTTGGACACTAGCCGCGTTCAGTACACCTCCGTTCAGCAAGTCTTCACATCCGAGCAGGAGATCTCTCCGATACTTACAGCGAAAAAAATAGCCTCGAGATAGGACAGTGCGTTCGAAAAGTAAGTTTTCGAAAACCAGTCTTATTATGTAACTCAGGAGTAATTATAATAAAAGTCTTATGCTGTTCAAGGCTTAATTTGTAATGGTGTGCCTAATTGAAATAGGTCTACCGCGGCAGTACTACGGTTACGGTCCTGAACTTCTGAATTGAAGGTCACGGGTTTGATCCCAGCAGCGGTGGTCCCATGCCAGTGGAGGAGGAATGCCAGGGGCTCGTGTACTGTGCTATATCAGGGCACGTGAAAGAACACCGGCCGTTTTAAATTTGCGGAGCATTCTCCTAAGGTGGCACCAATGACGTAGTCTGCTTTTGGGACCTAAATCCGCAGATAATAATGTTTAAAGAAGTTGAAAAAAAAATTAGAGAACGACGGTATTTGATATAATGGACGCAATTATTACCATTTTTGTTTGAGTAAGGAAAAGTTCGGGTTCAGTGATTAAGAAACACAAGACTTGTGATTCAGAGTTGTGATGGCTTCAATTACACAAATTATTGACCATAGAACAGTGAAGCGGGGTATGGACTTGCTGCGATTGTAAATGACGCTAACAGCACAAAAGCGAACTAGTGAAAAAAATGGTGCAACTAAGAGGAACACTGACTGGAAATCAGTGCTTGCTCTGACGTTGTTAACTTCGCCATCAAACGCCGGTTAGACTGCGCCCATACAGTGTCTGAGCTTAAACGATGTTTAGTGTGCGCCTGCTCTTTGACAAAGCCGCATATAGCCGAACGCTATTTTAGTTCTGTAAAAGTTTATTTTTAATAATAATAACTGTGGGTGTTTAACGTCCTAAAACACGCTATAATTATGACAGACGTCGTAGTGAAGGGCTCCGGGAATTTCAACCACGCAAGATTGAAATTTCCGGAACCCTCCTGCGGTTGAAACCTGAAGACGTCCCAACAGGGCGCACCTTAAGTGAAGGACTACGCAGCAAGCAGTCAAAATGAATGTTAGGTGTAACCTTACGCAGCAAGAAGATAGATTGGGCCGGAAAGCAACTGGGTGTTAAGGACAACTTATTCAAAATGAAGCAAGTAAATGGGCATGGGTATGCCATGTAGCCTGTAAGCAAGGTAACCACAGGCAACACTAGAGTGACAGATTGAATTCCAAGAGACGGCCAATACGTGAGGTGGAGGAAGGAAAGTTGGTTGGGTAGATGAGATTAGAAGTTTGCGGGTAAATGGCGCCCGCGGCAAGCACGAACCGGGCCGATTGGCGGAACGAGGGAGTGTGTTTTGACCTTCTGTGAATGCTGTCAGGCTGATGATGATGATAACAATGACATTACATGACCTTTGCTTTATTGTTTATCTCACAATTAATTTACAGGTTCGCTCCATACATGACGTTGGCAAACCTGCTGGCAGTTGTCGCTATTGTGGCATCTGCGTCCTGACAAATGGCCTATAGAACTGGTGACTGGAACCTCATATGTCTCTCTGCGAAACATCAATGGCGAAGTACTTATGACCAAAACTATTGCGATTACTAATATTTGGTGGTACTATCACTCTGAGGCAGTTCTCCCACTTTAGGCGCCTCGTGTAACAATTTTTTTTACCTTTTACATCTTATACCTGCTTGAAAATACCAATGTGAAGTTTGAATCTGGCACAGTTCTACTTCTAAGAAAGTTGGGGTGTTCAAGGCCTGCACTTTAGGTACAAGTTCAAATGTTTCGACAGACGAAAAACATTACGTGAATTTCTGCTTGGTGGACGCCCCTTGCAAATGTCCGCATCTCGGAGAATAAGCATGTCAAGTACCGCTTATACTTGCACCGTTCGTAGGCGGTGACAACGTGGTGTGTCTGTTTCTTGGCTAAGTAGGAAGATAGAAAAGGGCAGAATAAATGTTGTAAGACAATATAGGTAACAACTATGAATGAAAAAAAGCGAATTTCTCCGTACAGGTAATTTCTCGTACATAACTTTGGCGCAACTACATTGAAACAATTCGCTTCATGAGTGCGACCACTTTAGCGTCATAAAAATAAGGTTACCTGGTATAATTAAACCAAACACATCCAACAGACTATGAGGCTCTTGACTTGGCTGTATGCAACATATGAAGGAGCCCCTCTAAGAAACTTTTTTTTCGTTCATTAAATCTGATTCAGTGGGACTAGCTCTCAGGTGTATAGGTATCTTGACAAGCTTTAAAAAAATGCCACTTATAGAAGTAATCAGGCGGCCCGTTTTGAACTTTGTTACAATCCGTCTCCACAAAGAAGTTTGTACAGTGTTTGTGTATTTCAATAGCATGCCATTCAAACCAGGGTGAAGCAGCAAAAAGCTGATGTTTTCAAACAGGATGCTGTCGTGAGGCTCGTCAGTTTGACAGTGATGCAACAAATGTTCTTGAACATTAAAAAAACGCAGCAAACACACTGCGGACACAAGGGCGAGAAATCATCCTGCTATTTGTGCTGTTTTTATATATGCTCAATAATGATCAATTTCAAGCGAAGCATTTTACCCTTCTGCTATGTTACTTGCCATTCCTCCACAATTTCTGATGTTGCAGTGCTTATTTGGCTTGGTGAACACCCTAAAGTGCCGGGACAGCAGTTTTATTGTTTACAAATGTCATGGCCGACGCAAGCAGTAGGGGCGCTAATGCAAAGCAGACAAATCAATGGCATCTCAAAAATGGTGCTTTGGCTAGGGAAACCATTCGCCCAAGTGACCACAAGCCACTTAAGCCGAAAACACCACAAGGTTAAAATTCCAGCCAAGCATGTCCCACCCAACAGCTTAGCATGTGAAGTGCCTAGTTTGAGAATGCGGGCTTGAATGCCGGCCACGACAGCCGCATTTCAACCATCCACACACTTAGAGTTAGGCGAACGTTAAACTCCAGGCGGTCGATACGAATCTGGAGCACTTCAACTACAGTGGCCCTCACAGTTTTGCAGATCGCTCTTCAAACCAAACTACTTCAGTGGTTCGGCCCTTGAAAACATAAGTTTCATTTGTGACAGGCCCGCTCAATATAGTCCATGTCTACTGGCTTTTGACGATACACAGAAGCGCATTGTATAGCAACAAAGAAAAGTGAAAACTTTATTACAAGGCACCAGGCATGCATGAATACATACTTACATACGCACATACATACATACATACATACATACATACATACATACATACATACATACATACATACATACATACATACATACATACATACATACATACATACATACATACATACATACATACATACATACATACATACATACATACATACATACATACATACATACATATCAGTTTATATTCTAGGGCCCTGCGAGTTGCTGGAACCATTTCTGGGGTAGTTTATGGTGCAAACGCGTAGGCATACCTTACACATACTGAGATATCAGCATCCAATGTTTATTAGTAAGGCACAGTTTTACTTGTACTATTGTGAGTTAAAAATTTGCTAATCTGCGATTTTATTACAGGTACTACCTGTGACTTCATGTCCATCAACGTGAACGAAGAAGTAATTTCCAGGCTTATCGCTAGGCTTCCTGAGAGCATGGAGTCTGGTCCTCAGGGTTACCACGCAGTGCTCCCTGGTTTAGAAGTCGGCGGGCTTACGTCTGAAGGTCTAAAGAAACTGCACCAGTTCGGGCCCGTAATTCCTTACTGCAGCAACGGAACACGCATGGTGCAAGTGGACATGTATACCGACGGCGAGGTGCATTTCTGGTCGCCATGGAAAGCATGCTCGGGCCATGAAGGACGCATCATAATTCGTTCCATGTTCGGGCGGTTCACATTCCTGTTTCGTGTGGTCGAGTCTACTGCTGCAGGCGTCGAGCTGGAACTGCATCGCTTATTGCCCGTTACTACGCAGGATGTTTTCATTGATGTCGAATGGGCTGGACATGCTGTACGCGGTCCGCTAGAAATATTAAGGTATCTGCTACCGAGCTTTGCAGAAGAAGTGTGGGGCCAGCAATTCTTTCGCACCGTCAACAAGGCCTTCCATATGATCAGAGAATGAAATATGCCCACTTAAAGGTATCAATGTCGGAACATGAAGATATCAATGAAGTGCCTAACGAACACAAGGTAACTTTCTTTTCATTGTCACAAAAAATTGAAGAAAATGATTTTCAATCAGTAGAAACATTGATGTGTGTTACTATTTGTCCGTTGTATTGGTATTATGTCAGTGTAAGACTCACAATAAACTGGATTTTAGGATATGGTATAGAAGAGTACAAATCTTTATTATTATCCTTTTAAAGTGACAGGTGGGCACAGGAGTTTGTGCTCTCTTCTCTTCTACATGGCCTGCTGTGGAAAAACGCATGTTTACAATTATTCAGCTACTGTATAGGTTCTTCAGTACAAAAAATCCCTTCCCCCCAAAAAAGAAAACGAGCAAGTAGAGAATAGTACGTACGCCTTGGCGCCAACCTCTCTTTAGGTATCAATAACTTCAAAAAAAAAAATTGGCAGATGCCAGGCATCTTGGAAATCGACGTTATGCGAAGCGTGTGACGTTATGCAAACCAGCGTACGCTGTGTTTAAATGCCTTCCTTTTGTATTTCGAATTTTTTTCGCGCAACTCTATTAACAAGGTGACAGCGTTGTATTTATTTTATGCACTGACACAGTATGAAGTGATGCTAATTATATGTACAATCATTGCACGCACTGACATATCCTAAACAGTGGCAAACGTTCATATAACCAGTTGTTTGCAATTACGCAAACTTGCCAACAGGCACATGAGTATTAGCAACGCCGGAAGCGATAAGATGATATGAAGCGCTGACGCTCCCGAAGATGGCATGTGTGGACGCTCCTACATAAATCAGCTTCAGTGGGTGGCATCTAGCTATAATAGATCTGAACCCGACGAGACGGCTACATCAAAGGAGTACATATGTAATGTTAAGAAAATTGGATAGCCAGCGCTGTAACCCCAATGGAGGTATAATGAATAGTAGGGTTTTTTTAAAAAAAGAAGTACCAAGACCTGGCGTGGCTTTGTGGTATGTGACTGTAGTACCACGCAGAATGCTTGGGTTCCATTTCTGCTGGAACTTTGACAATTATTTCTTGCATTCGCCTGGTGAATGCTGCTGATGTCAGCTTTTATTCAACGGTCAGGCGTTAAAATTACCCATGTGTGTTCTCACAGTTCCAGGGTCCATAGTAAATATCAATCACCTGAGGCACATACCCGCCCGCGGGTATGTGCCACTATTTTTTTTGGAGAGAGCGAGACAGGATGGGGATAATCTGCAGGTATAGGTTAAGCATGGTTGAGCCGGGTAGAATACCTTGCACTGGGAAAGTGGGCAAGGGGAATAAGAGTTAGAAAGAGAGAAGGAGAGAAAAGTCACTGTTGCCATTGACGTAACGACAGTTGTATGCTTAGCATCACAGACAGTGTGCCACACATGTACTTTGATTCATTTAGCGCATTCGTTGCATTACGCAACTTGCATGCGTGGTCTCATGCACACAGATTCTTATCCACGGTGAAGCCATGGTGGTGCCGCTTGCGTTCTCAAGTAGCACACTTCTAAAGCTTGCGAGAACTGAACTGGTTGCAACACGCTTCGAGCTGTCGTGGTCTGTAAAGCTCGTCCGTCTTCATCCGTCAGGTTATGACGTACCGATGAAGTGTTCCTCACTGTCAAAACCTGATGTGGCTCATCAGGCGCATGTATCTTTGGAAGTTCGGGCCAAACGTGAACTGCATTGCTGGTAGTAGCTTGCACTGTCCTTGGAGACGGCTGAGTTCAGACTCGGTAGCAGGAACGAAGCATCAGCTTAACTGCCAGCATTAACGGCTTTGTTCATAGAACCGACAGGACTTGGCCCGAGTAGCAAAGATGGAAGGTAGCTTAGGAGGTGCTTCGCAAGGCAACGAGGTTCTAAAGGCTTTGGTTCTGCGCCGTTCACGGTACCATCGTCGCGTAATGGATGCAGCTGCTTCTCGGTGTCAGATGTCATCTTAAGCGCTTTTGTTGAACATTGTTAGCTTCCTTGAAATAACAGGACAATCCTTCGAAGAGGCATATTGTGGCCCATTGCAGTTTCAGCACTTCAGTATCGTGGCCTGGCACGTGTCTGTCTTGTGGTGCCGAATGCATTGGGAACAGACGGTAATGTTCGTGCAAACACCACTACGTGAGCCTAACTTATGCTCTTCCAGCACTGACGCAGTTTCGGTACAACAGGGCAAACTGCGTGTAGGAAGTGGCCCACTTTGAGGTGTGATGGGAGTTATACCCCAAAATATAATACCTACACATAATTATGTTCCGATACGACATATACTTGTATAATGGTATTATCTGAAGCCGGCTTCTTCAAATGGTAGGTCCATGTTGGTAATAGCTTCGTCAAAATTATAAATTACGCCAGTGCTCACTTCCTTCCCAACGGTATATGAGAGTGGACTCTGTAACTTCGTGCATTGTGTCTAGCGTAGTCGCATGATTGACATCAATCACTAGAATTTTCCTGCGGCCATTCACTCTGACTTCCTTTACTTCGTTTGGCACCAGTGCCTCTAGCTGTACAGACATGGTTTGCCGGTAAGGTGTCTGATGTTGTCACTGGCGAGAACTGGCATGAAAAGTACGGCCTGCTATGTCAGAAGTAACTCACGAAACAGGTAAGGCAAGAAGCGTAGTTGTATAACGCGTCTTCGAGTGGAGAATAAGGTGTAACTTAAAGAGGGAGTTCGGATACACACACTCTTGGCGGCTGCTCTATACAGCGCGCCAACTCCAGAAGATGGCAACTTGCCTGAATGACTGAAGCAATACCAGCAATATGCACACCTCAATTCAACTGGCACGCATTGACGCCGTCGTCATCATGGCCTTCATGACACTTTGCGTGGAGCGGTGTGAACGGTTCTGGTCATTAAGACGATACCTACGTGTTAACCAGTGCGCTGTAATTGTGAGGCATGCTGTGATTTAGACTTAGTACTGCCTTAACAGTTACAACACCTTTTACAAAAACAGTCTGCCTGATCGAATCTGGTTAAGGTAAACAGTGTAGAAAGCTGTGTGGGGAGATGGTCACAAAGCGTGTACTGACGTCATTAGACGTGTGCCAGTTAGAGCAATGCACATATTTGAAGCAACATTCATTCTAACGCATCTCTGAAGGCTTTACGTCCTCTTATCACGCATACATATATACTCCGATAAAGAAGTAACGCTCAAGACAGATGGTCATGCACTGAAGTCGAGGTTTTTGAGACATTATTTCAGGACTGCTCCAGCCTGCCGGATCGACTACCCTCTTCACCATGTATATTTTATGCAGAGCACTGGAGTTTCAGCTTGTCTGGTTTATGTATTTAATAAAGTTTTGTACTACTATACTACTACTACTACTACTACTACTACTACTACTACTACTACTACTACTACACTCGTGCAAAAAGGTGAAAATTATAGTTGAAGGTTGTTGGTTTGACGAAGATTTGCGGAAGGATGGTACACACTTTAGTAAAAAGCTGCCTGCGGAGAATATCATGGAAAAGATAGAGAAATTGTTGGGGTGGAGGATGTAGAAAATTGCGTGCGATATGGACTGAAGAGACCAAGAAATGTATTAGGGCAGAGAATCATTTGTTCGTGGACTGTTCGAACGTATGGCATGTTGTAGACAGCACTGCGCCTAGCACCAATAAAGGTTCCGGAGAGACATTTCCACATAGACAGAACACTTCCAGAGATCGAAGGCCGTCACAGGATGACGAAATGGGCATCTTAAGGCCACAAGGACTGTCGCTTGCTTGCTAATAGGTGTGGCTCGCTTTGACAGGTTACTGAATTCTGGCGACGGCGACTAAGGGAAGAAACAAGGAGGGGGAGGGGGGTGGCAAATAGCCTTCTTGTTTTCAGCTCGAAAACAGTGTACGTTGAAGACAGCCGAGGCGTTGACACGATAGCTTTAATTTATGTAATGGTGCCCAGCCTCCCATTGGTAGGTAGAGCGTGTTTTTTTTTTTACTGAATGGCGTTACAATTGGCATTTGCAGAAGAGGTTTTATTTTACTTAACAGCCCTGGCTTGCATGCAATTAGTGTAAACTCTTACTGTAAATGTCTGCAATGTGTTTTCCATAATGGGGGTTTAAAATTTTTGTCTTTTTTTGAAAGACATAAAAAGGATTGTGTGGTTAGCATTGCGTACATCAGATAGCCAGCTACGGCTACAATTATGTTTTATATTACGCTGCAATTATTTCGCAGAGGTGTTCCGTGCGTAACTAAACATAGTACACAGAGTATATTAATGAAAAGTCAAGAATTTTCAAGAATTTTCAAAACATTCAGCAGAATATATGCTGTGTGGGGAAGGTATCTTCACAATAACCGAAGTGTATACAGTGCCTCGCTCATGTTCAAGGCATAACTGGCTGAAACGGGCCGCGTCGGGTCAGGCCCAAACTTTTCGGTCCCTGGCCGTGTACGGGCCATAATTAAAAACATCGGGCTGTGCTCGGATGGACAGGAGCATGATAATATTGGTCGGATTAGGGCTGGGGCCCGAAAAGTTGGCCCATGCAGTGCTCCAGCTTACGGCTGTCTGCAAGTTCAAAGACTTGAGCGTGATTTTTCAAATTCATTTGGAAAAATTGGAAGAAGCAATTCCTCCTGAATATTCTGAATAGTTTCCACTTGATCAAGAAGTGAAATTCACTGACCGAGACGTTGGAGTCCCACCAACATCACCAAACCTAAATAGCACAGGAAAACTAATTTCTGACACATTTTTTGTCATTTCTTTCTTTTACGATAAGAAATAAAGGAGCCTTATCTTTCAGCAACATTCCCAAGGGTTTTTATCAGAAGTGTTTTTCTATGATGCTTGAGAAATATGTTCATATTGTAAGAATTTTATGAACTGTCTTCATGCCGTTTTCGAGGACAGTTTCATCCTTTCGTTGTCAGCAACAAAAATCGTAAACTTTAACCGTAGTAAAAACAATGACCCCGTTAATAAAAATTTTCTTCGTTTGAAGACGGGTGTTCCACTACGCAAACATATGTTATCTTTTATAATATGCAAAAGATGTGAGAAAGATGATTTGATCAGTTGTTCAATCAACATCACTTAGAGTGAAATTCAACAAATACATTGCTTTAATTATGTCTTTAAAAATCACATTTGCTGAAGTTTTCCTAACAGATGCAGCAAAAAAAATTCATCGTCAACCTCGGTGCTGTCACAGTTCGATTGTGTTATTATCTGCAAATTTCTACTTTGACGTTTGACTTGAGTTCCTCGCTAATACAACTAAAATTGACAGGTTAATGCATGCCTTCATGTGTATTTGCTTCAGCCACTTCTTGATTAATTTAAACTCTGCCAGACACATATCATTTGCGGCTTCCGTCGCTGTATTGTCTTCCAAGGGACGATTGTGGCTGATGTCGAAGAAGTGGAACTGATCAAGCTGCGAGTCGCTTGACGTAAGCACATTAAGGCACCAGATTGCGACGTATTCAATTTATCATTTATATTTAATTTATTTATATTTTATTTCTATGAAAGGTCACCTGAAAAATGAACAAGAAGATAATTAGCTGCTCACTTGGTTAGATAATCTTTCTCTTGTCTATTGATCAGGAAAAGCAAATTCAAAGCAGGTTATAGCAATGTATGCACTCGTTGGCTTTAGTTCTTTTATGTTGTGAGCGGTCGTTTGTATATGTTGTACGAAGAAAGACACTTCATATTATAGTATATCATCTTGTCATAGAGACATATCATGGCTACCATATGCAAAATGTACGTCAGCGACTTTGAAGTTGTGCAAAGCAAAGTGCTGGGTTTAATAAACAAACACTTATGCAAGAGTTTGGACTCTCTTCACAACCAGCCTCACCTACAGCAAGAAACTGTGTGCACAGCCAGCATCAAGGGTAGGCAACGTGAATGTCGAGCACCGGATCTCTCCAATTAGGTGCCCATGATATCGCTTCGCGAATGTTGCCAAAGAAAGTCCCTGGTTTTTCGCTGATAAGGGTGGGACGCTTTAGTGTACACCAATGGTTGTTATTTCGAGGGGGCCATTTCAGTGCGCACGTCGCTGGTGACGCCGTCAATGAACCCTTGTTGGAGCCAATAAAGGAGCAACGGAAGAAGCGGGCATCGTGATACTCGCCGTTGAGATTGCAAATGGGCTGACGCCGAATGTTGTAGCTGTTGCAAGTACTATGCGACATAATGTTATCGGAATTGCACAGACGTCACGGTGTTTTGCTTTATAAAGCGGTTCAACACAAGCAAGGTTCAGTCGGTCTCCTGGAGTGAGCAGTGGTCTGGTGGCAGGCTTCGGATCAGGGAAGGCACAGATCTAGTTATCAAAGTCGAAACAGCACCCGACGAGCAAGAAGGCTGCATTCAAGGAGTAAGTTTTCGAATGCTCCTTGCAGACTTGTGTCAAACATACTGTGTCATGAATTTTTGCTCCACTGCTTGCTTACACAGTAGTAGTACTTCATCGAATGTGATGAGTAAACTTGAAGTTGTTAGAGAGAAAAAATGAAAGAAATATCGACTGATCCCGTGTACTATGGCAATCGATTTTTGGCAACGCCTGCGAAGGAAAGGTGACTGTGGGGTGATATTTTGTTGAGCAAAAGTTTACGAAATGACCTTAAATGTTCTACCCAATTTCTACGCACAGATTTTTTAGGTAACAAGTTATTTACTCAACCGCAACGGTGTCAACATAAGCGTTAGTACTATAAACACCAGAAGAGGTAAGTAGGTATGTAGCACTTGTACTTGCGAGTGTGGCAGCTCTGGCTAGTAATGCATTGACCAACATCAGTGGATGACGCTTAAGTATAACATCGCCTTTACACGACATGACGCCTGTATCGCAGAAGTACATACGTAACACCCATAAAACTAGATAGCGAGCACTGAAATATAATTGCCGTTTCGCCATTATTACGCATGCATGTAGTCTTTTTTCGAAGAGGTTTTTCAAGACAAGCGTGGCGCTGTTACTGAATATTTGATTGCCTCTCAAAATGCTCGGGTTACATTCTTGGTATGACTCTCATTTGTATTCATCGAGTCAATGCTGTCAATGTTGGGTTTTTCATAACTTTCTGGTATTTAAATTACCAACGTCTTTTCTCGCCGTTTCTGTGCAGAGAAAAAGTTTTATTCATCTGTGGCGCATTTGTCAATACCATTGCTCGTTGGATGCGCGTGTGTAAAACCAATCAGGAGGCAAGGGTTTGATGGCATATGCTACGGGATTTTAAAGTTATTCCTGTCAAGACGAGCTTGATTGATTCATCCAATCCTCATAGGCTCCCATACTAATTTTGGAGTACGCAAAGTCAAGGATGAGATCACGAAAGCATTCAGACGTAGGCGGCTTTATGCATAGAGAGACAGATACGTTAGTGCAAACGCTCAAAGTGTCTGATGTTCAAAGAAATGCTTCAGTTTATTAAAATTATTTTACACTATTGCTGACATCCGGATCCTTGACCAAGATCTCACCACCTGTACGCTCCTCATTCGGGTACGTGCGTTATAAAGCTTACCGCTTATGCAGAACAAATTATCATTAGCAGTTATAGAAGATCGAGACATTGAAGCGCACCATGAATGGTTTCACTTACACTTTTTAAACGGCTTTCATTATTTTTGATGGGCAGCAGCAGAGAATGAACTACCATGGAACGTTTACAATATGGGTCATGCGAGACTAACGGGAAGTATATTTAAAAAAAAAAGTTTTTTACGACTTTCGCATATATTTTCAGGTTTACCAACAAAGATGAAGTTCCTGAAAGTGCTTTCCGTGGTCGCTTTTCTGGCGTCTTTTTGTGACGCACTGTACTACAGGACTGGTGAGTTGGGCTATTCAAATAACTTTATTACATATTTCACATTCCGTTACAAGGTTGGAATAGTCGAGGAAGAGGTCCCAAAGTTTTAGAGAAACTGACAGGGGACCTTAATGGCGACATGAATGGGATAATTACAAAAAAAGTACAGCAAATTTGTGAGCAGTGACTAATGAGCCTAATTAACAGTAGCATATAATTTTTCTGCCCCGAAAAGACTGCGAGAGTTACAATCAACAAAATGGTAAAAAGCTGCGTGTTCAGGCGAAAATGGCAAAATGCGTAGTAGTTCCATTTCAGAAGAGAGTCCCTTAACTCGCACAAATATTCACAGCAGAGGGAAGTAGTCCGGTGATACAAGGGCAACTCTGGTGGACGAGGCTGGCTGTTGCGTCCTGGATGGAATAACCAAGCCACAGAGATCTGCACTGATGATGACATGGGTTGAGGTCTTGTGAGAAACGAACAAGGTTGGGAGTCCATGTAGCATTTGCAGTTCGTATGTTGAAGGGGCTGAACTGTGGGTCGTGGTGGAAACAGATGGTGTGTTTCCAGCTTGCGTGTGCGATGGTCGTGGCTGATGGGACAGTCTCTTCGTTGAGCAGACGGTGGCTTTTCGTCCCTTTCGTTGTTTTCAGTGGTTTCGGAGTTGTAATTGTAGGCGCAGTATTGATCTCTTGTGCGAAATGCATTTCTGGCGCTCATCTACTGTGTTAATATGCCTCACGTGTTAAGTTTGCTATAAGAGGCTGGCTTTGTGTCGTCGTCCTCGATGGTGTATCTAATGGAGTGTCTGGAACTCTTGGACTGATCTTTGCTGGCGTTACTGCTGTTGCTGTGGTACGTGCTGAGGTGGGAGCCCTTCTTGAACATCACGCCGTTTTTTTTTTTTTGACAACTTGATGTGTCAAATCGGCAACTGGTAGTCTGTGGGCTGTTGTGATGCAGTTTGGGCAGCGAAGATAATGGTCCAGAGTTGACATGAAGCTCTTCAGAGGCTTCTTCTACACTGTTCACTACGAGGCGATCTCGTGGCGGGCAGCGTGTGACGTTCGATGTGTCTGAGCCCTCTCCTTTGCTTTGACTGTTTAGTGTGTGTACACCGGACGTCCATCGTGAACATGGCGTTCTTAAGAGGCAAAAGGTGAGCGAAGTGCTTAAAGAGCAGTGTGTTGAAAAAGCAGGGGGTCTGTAAATCCTGGAGTCTTCTAATACCGGGAACAGGTTTAACATGTTCTCTGCATAAGGGAAACTTCGTCCTTAGGGTCTTTTAGGGAAACGAGCTAGATGCTTTCAAGACCGCAGAGGCTCTACGTTGTTTGTTGGGAGCTGTACACTCGTATTCAGTGTTCGAACACGAGCGTTATACTTGAACAATTCGCATGATTGTTCTATCAACGACTTTTTACGATGATGTCTCGTTTGGTAACTGTGCTTGCTATGTGAAGACTTTTCGTCACTCTGTTGAACGAGATGAAAGGACTCCAACTGATAGCTTACGCCGAAGCCTTCATCGTATTCTTTAAAACGAGTGATCATTTCTTCTCTGATTTTTTACTACGACTTGTCGTTTTCAAATATGTGTGTGAGATAAACCCAAATGCTTGCCCGGAGATGTAGTCGGCAAACTTGTTGACTCTCTCTCGTTCCGACTACGATGCAGCGGTAGCATGGAACTCGAACAAATCGAACCAGTCTTGTACGGGTCCACCGTCCGCTGCTTCCGTGTTACTTGGGCATGGAAAGGTCAGTCGATGACGCTGTCATGATGCTGGTCATGATGTAGAGTGGGGTTGAGCTTCTGTTGACTGCGTCTTGCTGAGGTCTTTGATGATGATGGCCGGTGGATAAAGTGGCTGCCAAGTCTTGATTTTGTCGGCTTGTGTGACGCTATGGTGACTGGGAGACGCGGCCTGGGTCATCCACTATGATTATTCTATTCCCCTTTTTTCTTCTCTGCTTCTACCAACCTTCGCTATTCTCCTATGTCACACACACACACACACACACACACACACACACACACACACACACACACACACACACACACACACACACACATATATATATATATATATATATATATATATATATGCATGGGGGAAAATGGGGGAAAGTGCCGGGTTTAGTGCTGCGAATAGTCAACTTCGGCCTTAGTCAGAAATTTCACTTACACTTTTTAGGTGAGTTTCACTTACACATTCCTGACAAAGGCCAGACTCGAGCCTTTGTCAGGAATGGCCTTTCTCAGGATCGTATGTGTATAAATAGATGTATATAGATATATGTTTAAATGTATGGCCTCTCTGACTACGCAACGGCGACGTTGGCCGCGCCTGCAAGCCCGTGCTTGCTCCCCCTCCCTCTTCTGTAGTCCTTTCTCTCCAGAGTGTTTATACTCCTCTTGCACATGCGTGTTCCCTCCCACTCTTTCTCTGCTTCCTACGCTCCCACCTCTGGCCTTGCAAAACCGACGCAAGCAGCGTTTGCTGGGAGTTTCTTGATTAAAAAATCACAGCATATCCACGGAGTGAATAATGATGAATGGGACGAAGCGTCTGTTAGTCCGTCCGCGTTTCAGTCATTCCGTTCGTTCTTGCTACAGTCCATCCGTCGGTCCGTTCGTCCACCTAGTGAACACATCAAGTACAGCAATCTCACATCTTTTCTTTATATATTCATCCTATATAAGTACCGCCATCCAGTGGACATTTCCAGGACTAAACGAGAGGTGGCTACCTACTACTACTACGACTACTATACTACTACATACATCGCGGATGCACGACCCACGGCTTAAAGAGCTTCGCCCTTAAAAACCGTCTTGCGCTTCACAACTGTTCACTAGACACCCCGCATATGCAGGTACTGGATTGTAGTGTCCATGGTAGCACCTGTGGGAGATTTCGCCTGTGCATTGTTCAGCAATGAAAATTCGCAGCATGCGAGGTAACTAAAAACTGACTGCGGGTCTCTGCGTTAAAAAGAGTTCTCGGTCTTTGATAGCCCATTAGAAGCAATTGGCTTGCTCTAGTGCTTTGCGCCTCCCCATCCTTCTCTCCTGTGCAACGCCGCAATGAGCGCAGCCGTCAACGCCGCCGCCAGTGTAAGCGTTAGAGCCCGCTTCTTTGCATTCACAGATGTTTCTCATTATTGGGAGATGTCTCAATTGTTTCACGTTTGCTGTCACTGTACTTCGAGATGAAAGTGCTGAAGCATACAAATATAAGTATAAAAAAGAAACGAAGTCGCTATTATTCCCGCTCTGCCTGTGTGGAGAGGGAAGAGTCACGCACACGACATGCAGCATAAATCAGGTTGGTCTTCAAAGTGTACTGGTTTTCACAGAGTGATGTCATGCCTTGGCACGTTCATAACAACCTACCATACGACAATAATTCCGCAACAGGTGTTTCTTACTTGACCTTGTCAATAGTTAGATAGATAAATAGATAGATAGATAGATAGATAGATAGATAGATAGATAGATAGATAGATAGATAGTTCAAGAAGAACCTAATGTCTCAAAGATTAATGAAGTAGTCCAGCTGGGCATGTTCTCTACTGCAAACGAGCTAAAGTAAAAAAATAAAGCCATAAAATACAAATAGAAATATCTATTGCCAAGCCTATTTGTGTTGGTTGAGCCTTGGCGCAGCCATGAGATAAGGTTTCATCAATGAAGCACAACAATAAACAAATTGTGGCACAAAATGGAAATCAGCTTCCATTGACATAGCGCTAGCTGTCAGCTATTCACACAAGGTAGGCTGGCAACTATAGTGGCCGGCCTTTCGAAGGAGGACAATGAAGTAGTTTGGTGTGCGCGTGCTCTGGCGTTTTTTTTTTTTTGGCCGTTTGTGCCGAGAGTAAACACCGTTTTGTTCCGCGTCTCTGTGTCTCTGTGACAATATGTGCAGTGGGGTGGGACGAAGTATTTCGACAAGACGAAATACAAACAGTCACGTGCTACCGTGGTTTTTTTTGCCGTATTTCAAGCAGTAAAACTATTGGCAGGATACTACTATATTTGTGAACACGTGCTATACAAACGCTGCTTAGGACAAAATGCGTTATAGAAGCAAGGGAAGGTTGTTGAGAGTTCGTTTTACATTACATACATACGTACATACATACATACGTACATACGTACATACATACATACATACATACATACATACATACATACATACATACATACATACATACATACATACATACATACATACATACACACACACATACATACATACATACATACATACATACATACATACATACATACATACATACATACATACATAAGGATTGTGATGTTTTAAGCAATTCCTGAGTGCTGAAAGTACATTTACCAAAACCCTGGTGACCACTTCTTCAATGACGCTCAGATATATTCGTGTTGTAAAATAAAATATCACTAAGAAGATTTGCCTTCCCATAAACATGTGTGTTTTTAAATCAGCTGAGTACTAACTGCGACCCATTTTTGTTATTTTTTTGCAGATACCCCTTGTGATTTCACGGGCGTCTCCATTGATGATGAGGTACTGTCACGGCTAATCACCAGGCTTCCCGAGGGTTTAGAGTCGGGCCCTGAGGGTTTATACATGCTCTTCCCCGGATTCGAAGTAGGCAGGCAAACCTTTGACGGTTTGAGGAAGCTTCAGAAGTTCGGACCCACGATTCCCTACTGCGCCAACGGAACCCGCATGGTGCAAGCCGACTTCTTCAGCAATGACGACATGCTCTTCTGGTCGCCATGGAAGACCTGCTCGGGGGACGAGGGACGCGTGGTTGTTCGTGCAGGATTCACTCGGTTCACCCTCCAGTTTCGCCTGGTCGATTCATCTGCCTCGGGAGTCAAGCTAGAATTTCATCGCGCACTGCCTGTTACTGTGCAGGGTGTTCGCCTTGAAGTTGATGGGGCCGGACGTGTTGTGCGCGGAGTGTTTGAAGTCTTGAGCATGCTCCTGCCAAGCTTCGTTGAAGAACTTTGGATGGGGCAATTTTTCCAGAATCTTCACGAAGGTTTCCGCTCTATGAACGAGGAAAACGCATTTATGTAGAAAAGTTCAGACAACCAACAGCAAGATCAGCCATAAATACTTTATGATGAAAACTCATTTCAGTTGCATTCTTCACTCTCTTTCTTTTTTGAAGAAAACAAAGAAAGGTGCATTATCTGTGAACAACATTGCTATGTTTTTATGAGCACAAGTGTTTTTAGGGCAAAAGCTGTTATGAGACCGGGACACAGGTCACGAGCGGCACCGCAGTTGTCCGCCGTTGCGGGCGCCGCTACCGGCACCGATGTCCGTAATCATGCAGTATCACGAGATACTGGTTACTAATAAGGAAAACTAAGGACACAATGGGATTTTTACCTGAGTCCGCTCCATGCCAGCCCAGCATTCCACCACTCAGCCACACCAGTGCTTGGCACTTATCCAAAACAGGCCTGAGGCAGGCTTGATGTTGGGAAAGGATTCGTGCTAATATGAGTAATAAAACGTTTTAGAACGTCATAGGAACGACCAGTCGTCCCACAATTGAGATTTCGTAAAGAGTTGGTCATCCAATAATTGAACTCTGTACATAAGCTGGTCCTTGGTCACCTAATAACTGTGGTGCATACCAGCTTCAGGCTTAATTCTTTATCATCGTCACTCACTGCATTAAGACATTGTACAATATTCCTAGCAAGTGTGTAGCAGATACCAAGCTTCTTCGAAGAATTATGAAGAAAAGTATAGTGAAAGCCAGCCTACTACACACAAAGTAGGATTTTTTATGGCTTAGCGAGTATACTCTGCAAGTGTGCTTGTAGGAGTTACTCGAAGAGTGTCAAGAAGAGGCTCTGAAAAGCCGCTCTTTCGAGCTTTCGCTGTGACAGTGCTGCGCGTTCCGTCCTGGTCTGGCGTGTTTTTTTTTTTTTTGTAATGCACGAGGAACACGAACTTTTGATTAGAATACGTTGAACAAGTATTTTGATGCGTTGTTTTACTCCACTCATAAATCAGCACAGGCCCACTGACACATCTTTGGAGGTTTGCGAATCGACGTGCCATCCAGGGGAGGCAAAAAAAAAAAAAACCGCACCGCTTGAGTATGTGAAGACATTGCCCGTGCAACTGGGATGACTTTGAGAAATAATGCCTTCGAAAAAGGGCGACAATAAGTATGGTCGCTACATCATACGCAAAAAAAATATTAGCAATTTGAGCAGTCAAGCTGGTAGTCTCCTTTCTTGTCCCGGTTTAACTCAATATCAGTGAGGTCGCAAATACGGAGTAGCAGACAATAAAAAATATGTAATCGATTATCATCAAAAGACACGGTGCAGAGTCCGGTAATTTCTTGATTTCGGAGCCAGCTGTACAAGAGGTAACCTATAGTCTCGACAGAGTTGTAGATATTGCACGTGGGTGATTGTGGCCAATCAAATTGAGTGCGTTATGCTTGAGTAAATGCTACGCCGAGTCAAGGCTGACGCAGCCGATTAGAAGCGAAGCGCTGGCGAAAGCAAAAACGCTCGTTGCAATCCTAAGGCACAAATACACACAGATTTGTACTAATATGGCGTTGCTGATCTCTTTATGATAAAATGTTGTACCATCCAATAAAATAGGCATAACGATAAAATAATCATAATATGTACAGAGCTGGGTCTGTGAGATATCGATTCGTGGACGTCTAGTCAACATACAAATTGAGCCGTCACATCATGTATCTACGTTTATGCTTGCAGTTGCTTTGCTGACCTGCGTACTATGGGCTTTTTGAAGGACACAGTGATATGGTCTGCGTGCCCTTTCTAAGTGACCCCTTGAGCTTCGCGAGTGAGGCGCGCTGTCGTGAAATACGCACCCGAGATTGCAACAGGGAGATTGATGCACTTTTGCCGTAACACGAGCTTAACGATGCTCTTTAGCCGCCATCTTGTTTGGCTTTAAAAGGCTGTTCGAAAGACACAGTTCACAGGGGTTTCTCCTCAAAGCAGGCCCGTAAGCTTGCCATTCGTGAAAGACCATTAGGTTGTACATCTCCAAAGCGGCAATAGCAGAAGACCTTCACCCTCTTGAAGAAACGTAACGTAAGTGATTTTGATTTTCTGTAGGTGCCACGACTGAATTGTTTATAAATGCTCCTTGGGAAAACTTCAGCTAACCAAAAAAAAAGAAAATAAGGTGCTTGGGATCACGCACAATATTTAAGATTTTAAAATTTTAAACTTCACACACACACACACACACACACACGCACACAAACACTGATGATGTCAGAGTGGACTGAGATGAATGCGCATACGTTTTCCTTGTGAATCATGCCATTAAGTTAGAAAGTACTTGTTATGTAACAGTGCGGAATATATTGATATCTATGTCGCAGCTCATTGAAGACTATGTGGCAAGTAGCAGTCTTTGCCATGCTGTCCTGTTTGTCAACCTCTCGTGCGCACACAGTCTACCAGGAAGGTGAGCTTAATGCGTTGAAACAGGTTTAGATATCAGAAGCCGTGGTTACGTCAGTCGAAATAGCTTAGTATCGTAAAATAGCGCAAAATAAAAACAAGTGGGCACGAGGTAGCTGAAACTTGCATCATTGTCAGTTTAGGCGATATATGAATAAGTCACTCATTTTTCTCCCTAATTCAGAAGGAACTGGGTTTGCTAACATCAGGGCTCTGAAAAAAGAAGTGAAATTGCTGAATATGTTTATGTAACTTTTGTGTTGTTGGACGGAGTCAATGCGCATGACCACTTGTTACCATACATAAATGTTCTCCCGACAAAAATAAAGGCTAGTTGAAACTTAGTGCCCGTGTTGTCTTGATGTTGTGTCCACCTGTTTCTTGTGCTATTTCTCGACGCATAACCAACTAGTTCGGCTTTCTGTACTAGTGCAATTACAGCTTTGTATTCACATCACATTGATACCGAACCACGAGCAAAGCGTAATGAATGGCGCGAGAAAATCAGCACGTTTGAGAGCTTTACTTATTCAGCTTCGGAAACAGTATGTAAGGACACTCCATATGTTCATTTACCTGATGAAAAGCTACATGTTCTGTATACATTAGGATGATTTAGAGTGTGTGATGCGAACAAGGCAGACAATAATGAGAAAATAGAGGCTTGAAGAGGTGACCCTTTTTACAGAGCGTAAAACTTAAAGCAAGTTTCGACATGTGACTATGTATGTCTTCATCAAGGCAGCAGTCATCTACTTAGCACACTCATGTGCATTAAACAGTAGGCGTCAGTGAATTTACCTTTTTAAAAAGTGATCTCGTCCTCAAACATTTATGCGCCAAGGCAAGCTGGTTCATCAAGCTTGCCAAGACCACATGTGTAAACGCTGGATTCAGCGAAATAATATCTGCAAGAGCATTGTTTCCTTTTAGATTTGTAATATTTTAATATTGTTGGTGCATTATTAAAATAGGCTAAATCGTTCAAATATCTGTAACGAATATTCCTCATCCTCATTAGACTCGTCATGTGACTTCCGAGGGCTCCGACTGCGGGAAGAACTATCCCGGGGGCTCGCGAAGCTTCCTGAGGTCCCAGCTTTTGGGCAAGAGTAGCTGAGCCCTTACTTTCCCGGCCTCGAAATCGCTGGATTCACAGTGAAGGGTCTGGACGAGCTTACTCTTTACGGACCTGTTGTTCCTTACTGCATTAACGGGACTCGAATGCTACAAGCGGACTTCTTCAACGAGGGCAACATTGTCTTTACGTTGCCGTGGAAGGCATGCTCTGGACACGAAGCCCGCTTCAAAGTTCGGGCAACGCTTTTCCGGTTCACCGCGCAGTTGCACGTCCTCGAGTCGCCTGACGAAGTGTGAAGCTTCGACTGGCTAGTCGCATTGTCCCTGTCACAACGCAGGGTGTGCGCGCTTATGTCGAAGGTGCTGGTCCTGATGTGCGCGACGCATCCGAAATGCTGAGCACGCTCATTCCCGGCCTACTCGAAGAAATGTGGTACTGGCAGTTCTCTCTTAAATTCGACAGAAGATTTCGCCAAGCGTCCGAGTGAATAAAGCTCGGGGTTATACTTACTACCACCTAGGCTGAAATCCGTGGTATATACTTGTGGTGAACTGCCTGTACATTGTTGCTGAAACACTGGTTTTCATAATAAAAAATAAAAGACATAATTGCACACCCTCATTTCTTACATTATACACCGTCTTAGACAATGTTAATGGTTTCGTGCCAAAAAATGGTGTGTTATGATACCATTTGAGACTTTGTGATTCAAACGTACCATATTCCTGTATGTTTGTCTTCAAAATATGGGCGAAAACACAGCTTTTTCTTCATAGAGTTACACCACTGAGCATGAGAGTTCGTACATCATGACGTATTTTTAAAGCTGTAAGTAAGATTTACACAGGTATCAGTGCGCAGAGGAGCTTAACAAAAAAAAAAAACAAGACAAACCACGCACTGGCTGCGATATCTTACGTGAAGAATTATTTCTGATAAAATTGACTGATGTTTTAAAACAATTACGTTTTGTTGTCATTAGGTTGATGGGCGGGCTCTAATTTATTTGGAACGTAGGTCCGCAATTAACCACCTGAGTATAGATAACTTTCAAACCCTGCTTTAGTAAATGCAGTCTGCAGACTCAATACACTGTTGATAGTGAGTTAACGTCTTGTACCGATTTTTTTTCTCAGTTCAAGATATTTAATATATAGCTTCTCTTAATGTCAGGCTCATACCGAAAACTGAAAGGAGGCGACGTCTTTCAAGAACACGCTGGCCAGGTGAAGCTATTCCTACGGGCAAAAGGACATGGGACGCTGAACGGGACAAAACGCAAAGTTGAATCTTTCTAGGAAGTTTATTGTTAAGCCAGTGCCTCCTTTTTATAAGAACGAATGTGCCACAACCCCCAAATAATGGCAGGTATAAGACCATCTTTCGCAAGTTTTTATAACAGTGAGTGGATGGTGAGCAATAACAAGTATTTATAGACAAGGGCACTTGAGTGCCGATTACGCATTTAAGCTTTCCTATCACATCGATCTATCCCCGCCAGCTCCAACCCCACGACAGATAATTGCGTGGCAGCCCTGCTCAGCTGTCACCACTGAAGAACCAAAAGCCCTAGTTCAGAG